CTCCACCGACTTCTTTAATGAGATTCCAATTTGTCAATTAGGGGGAGGACGACGATACCATATCCCCTTTGTGTCCCCCTTTTCCACTGCCCTAACACCTAACTTGATTCCTACTCAGGGAGCGACACTTATGCCAGTTTCAACAGGCTCTACCTGTTTCAGCGGCGTTGAGAGTGATCTTCACATTATAAAATTTGAGTTAATGAGCTTTTCGGAGAGATTCGTTTTATGACAAAGGAGGAGGAGTGCTTTTTTTTGGTAAGGATTGATTTTTCTTTTTATTTTTTTACTCGTGTTCTCAAGATTGGTCACGTTAATTTACTATATTGTTATTTTGATTTTGACTCGATGGTCAATTCTGCGGCCAATAATACAAAAAATAAGTGCAGACTTCTTTTAGTGTCTACACTAAAAAAAATTCTTATTAGATCACTAGATTCTGGTTCTTGTGAAATTAACTAGAATTCTGGTTAATTTAACATTCCTTGTTTAAAATTAACTAGAATTCTGGTTAATTTAATCAAAATTCTTATAAAATTAACTGACAGTTTGGTTAATTTAACCATATAATTAAAATGTTAAATATACTTAAACCTGAATTCTGGTTAAATATACTAGAATTCTATGTAAATTCACTAGAATTATGATTTATTTAACCAGATTTATGAGTATTTTTCTAGAATTCTAATTAAATTCATTATTAGATTTCTGGTTCATTAACAATAAGAATAAAAATGTTAAATGCACTCTAACTAGAATTCTGATTATATTCACTAGAATTCTAATTAATTTACTAGAATTCTGATTCATTGAACAGACTAAAAAAATTTGATAAAACTAAAATTCTTGTTAAATTTAATAAAAATTTGGTAAAATAAACATACTTAAATTCTGTTTGTACTAACTAAAATAAAAAAAAATTTTAGAATTTTAGAATTTAACCTGAATTCTAATTAATTTAACCAGAATTCTGATACTATTAACTAGAATTCTAATTAAATTTACATAGAATTCTGGTTAAATATACACTGTAAAAAATTTTTGGGGAAAATTCCCCAAAATCTTGGTGACGCAATTTTAACCAAAAAAGGTAAATTTCCACCAAGAAAACTTGGGGAATTTTCCCCAAGAAAACTAGAGGAATTTTCCCTTTAAAATCTTGTGGAATTTTCCCTTTAAACCCTTAAGGAATTTTCCCTTTATAATCTTGGGGAATTTTCCCCAAAAAACTTTAGGAATTTTCCCTTTGAAATCTTGGGGAATTTTCCCCAAGAAACTCGAGGAAATTTCCCTTTAAAATCTTGTGGAATTTTCCCTTTGCATCCTTGGGAATTGTTCCCTTTGAAATCTTGGGGAATCTTCCCTTTGCAACCTTGGAAAATTTTTCTTGTAAATTCTTAGAAAATTTCTCTTTTAAATTACTTATTATGGAATTTTTCTCTTAGAACGTTGGGATATTTTTACTGTAAAATAGTACAGAATTTTTCAGTAAATTTTATCCTTTCATATTTGGGAAGATTGGTTTGTAAGGTTGAATAAATCTTGAACAAATTTTTTAAATACTGTTTATTATATTAGGTACTGTCAGTGAACGATAAGTACTTCAGTTAAAAGTACTACATCTGAACTTTACAACATTAATAATTAATTTTTTGCTTTCGGATCGCAAATAGTCTTTGTGTAATGCGAAAGTTCTCCGTTTATATTGCCTTTAGGGGGTTGATTGTCCAACAACATACTGTAAAAATAAATTATTATTTACCTTTTACAATTGACAAAAAAATACATAAAAATTAAATTGAACAATAATATATTTACCAAAAACTATGAATATATAGTAGTAATAGGGTTTTGACTTTTCTAATTCAATATTATATTTCATATTTTTATTTATATATTTTTAAAATAAATTAAAAAATTTTTATTTTGATTAAAATATAAAAAATACCTAAACTACGTTATCTAACTAAAATATTAAAAATTAATTGAATTCTATAAGTCAATTGTTAAATTAACATTATATGGCAAAATATGAATAACTAACTAAATTTTTTGATAAAACCAAAAATAGTTTTAAAAAACTTTACAATACAATATGTTACACTTACAATATAATTATAATATATCTTTAAATATTATTTACCTTTTTAATAATTTTTAAATAATCCTTAAATATCGTTCTAGAATATTATTAAATATTGTCAAATTGTCCACTTCACTATTATACATATAACCATCACTATATATTTAATAACTTTGAATATTTTTTTCACTCAAGGTTTTACTCTTACGAAGGCTGAAAAGCAACTAACATGTAAAATCATCTTGAAAGACTTTTCGAAGAAGACTTCTTGAGAATTTCTCAAACATTCTAGCTAAATAAATTTATAAGAAAAAAACGGGTCCTGCGAGAAACTCATAAAATACGTCCCCTTTCAACGAGAAACCCTTAGGTATTGTTGGTCATCCAAAGACAAACCAGATGTGCCAAATCTTTCAAAATGAGAAAATGCTTCAAAACATTTTATACTTTTGACTAAGAGCAAAAAAATTTTAAGGCCCCCCATAGTATATATCTTTTAATAAACCTAACTATTTATGGCAATGCTTTTTATAAGTGAAAAATAGTTTATAATTGTTTGTTAAACATGCTTTATTAAAAAATTTTTTACCAAAGTATTAATTGTATTTTTAAGATAAAATTTTTACTATAAGTAGAACAAAAAATTTATGTAGTTCATAGTGAAAGTATTTTTTATTATATAATTATTAAATTATTAAAATTATAATAATTGTAAAGTTTAATTAATTTCATTTCTTCTAAATGCTTTTTCTAGTAAAAATTGTTATTTAAATTATAAATTAGACAAAGCTCATTTGTTTAAAACATTAATTTAATGAAGTATTATAAAAAAACATTTCACTGTAATATAAATTTTAATTTTTTAGCCCCTAAATCATACATTTTGTAAAAATGTTAATAATTTTGTACATGCAATTTAGTAAAAATTAACCCATTTTATAAAATTTAAAAAAGTTTTTTCAACTTTGTGGAAATTTTTATTAAATTTGGGAAAATTCCACAAAGCTTTCATAAAATGACATTTTCTTACTAATATGTGGAAAATTCCCTAAAATTATATACAAATTTCCCTATAATATTGTTGAAATTTTCACTATTATGTGGAAAATTGCACAAAATTGTAGTAAAAAATTTTTTCCCATTCGCTTTGTAGAAAATTCCCTAATATTTTATCACTTTTCCCCAAGTTTGTTCAAAATTTCACTAATTTGTGGAAAATTCCCCAAAATCGTAGTGAAAATACTTTTCCCCGTGAATTTGTGGAATATTCCACAAGGAACCTCAGGGAAAAATCCCCAAATTTTTTACAGTGTACTTAAATTATGGTTGAAGCAACTATACATTTCTGGTTAATTTAATCATGCGTATTAAATGTTAAACATTTTTTATCTAAAATTCTGGTTATATTTATGAAAATTTAATTTAAAATCCATAGAATTTCACTTCATTAACTATAATAGAAATGTTAAATACACTATCTACAGAATTCTAATTATATTTACTACACGGAGAAAAATATAAAGTAACTTTTACTACTTTTATAGTAAAAAATTTCCGGTAAAGAATTTCTGGTAATTTTTACTACTTTTGGAGTAAATTTTGCTACGTTCGAAATAAATTTTACTAATTTTTACAAATATTTACTTCGAACGTAGCAAAATTTACTCCAAAAGTAGTAAAAATTACCAGAAATGCTTGACCGGAAATTTTTTACTATAAAAGTAGTAAAAGTTACTTTATAATTTTTTCCGTGTAGAATTCTTTTTAGTTAAACCAGAATGAAAATTTTAAATGTAATCTAACCAGGACTTTAGTTGAACTAATAACTATATAGAATTCTGGTTAAATTCACTATAATTATGATTTACTTAACTACATTAATGAGTATTTTTACTAGAATTCTAATTAAATTCACTCTTAGACTTCTTCAATTCTTGTTAATTTAACAAACGTTTTTAAAAAATTAACTAGAATTCTGGTTAACTTAACCAAAGTTCCTATAAAATTAACTAGAATTTTGGTTAATTTAACCATATAATAAAAGTGATAAATATATACTCACTAAATTCTGATTGCTTTAATCAGTATTCTGATTATATTTATACTAGAATTCTAATTAAATTCACTAATAGAATTCTGGTTTATTATTAAGAACAAAAATGTTAAATGTAATCTAAGCAGATTCAAGTTAAACTAACCAGAATTTCGATTATTTTAACCAGAATTCTTGTAAATTTAACTATAGAATTCCAATTAGAATATATTTATAATTTTTTGGTATGGTTAATTAACCAAAATTCCAGTTTATTTTATAAGAATTTTGGTAAAATTAACCAGAACCAAGAATTTTTGTTAGTCTAACCAGAATTCTAGTAAATTTAACCAGAATTCTACTTTCTTCTTCTTTTTTACTTTATTTAACCAAATTTACCAATTTCCTACGGCAAATGCGACTTACGAGGTTTTTACTTTGGACAGCAGTTTTTTTAATTGCTACAATACTTTTAGCTCAAAATAATTTTTTCGAAAATGTATTGCGTCTTTATAAAAAATGCAAAAGAGTTAAATTTGAAAAAGAGTAATTTGAAGGAAATAAAAAAATTGAAAAGAAAATGAATAAGAACAATATAATTTTGGAGAAGAAAACAATATTGTCACCAGTCGGAGTATATAGTATATATATGTTTGCGTTAAAAGAAAAGTTACCGACGCAAGAACAATTTTTGAAGGCGTTACTATATTCAGTCGGAGGTTCTTGAACATCATTGAAAGTGGTTGCACCCGGGCCCGCAGGCGAACTATAAAGTTTCATTTCTACCAGGCGAATGTCTTCGAATTAGCAATAAAGCAGCGATTCTCTCCGGACAACGAGGCTACGCCGCACCGCGGCGTTGGCTCCTTCTCGTTTTTTGTTTACTCACCCGCGAACTGGTTTTGCGGTATACGCTTCTTCTTCTTCTTCTTCTTCTTCTTCTTCTTCTTTCTGCCTCTTCTTCACCTCCTCGATCTCGTCGTCGTCGTCGTCTTCTTGTCTCGGGTCCCTGCCTCGCTATATTTCGGGGTACGCAAATATCGAATTCAATGTAATTTCGAAAAAAAAAACGCTGTGTTGGAAATTTTTGACAGTAAAATTGCAGTATACATTCAATATATCTCAATATATATTATTGAGAAAATATTCTTTAAGTAATATTCTTCTTTCAATCAAAATTGCGACTTTTGCTTTTAAAATTCGTAAAAATTTATATTAATTTAAATTTAGAGATGAGTTGATCTTACAAAAAATTTTCGTCCAAAAAAATCACTGAAGAAACGTTTTCAGTATTAATCAGAAATTTACTCTAGTCTAATTATAACCATACATTTCTCGTTAGTTTAAACAGAAATTACTTAATCATTAAATGCATCTAGTATAACTTTAATCAAAACTTTTTTTCCTGAGCAAAAAAGTCTAAAGTTAGTCACTGATCTAAATGACTCAAAATTTTAATTAATTATTACAGGGTGGACACTTTTTTCATAAAAAAAATTCACGGTCATTTCCCGGTCATAAATTATTTTTTCCTGGTCATAAAGAATAACTCTGAAAATAAATTATTCCATGAATGATTGAAAGAATTACCTGCTTTTTAGACAAAACTTTGACTTTTTCTGGAACCCTAGAAATATTTTAGTTTATACTCTAAAAGTAATTGAAACTCCAAAATATGTTTATAATACATTTTTTTGAATTTCTTTAATTGTAAAATCATTTGGAACTGAAATAGATTTTTTGAAATAAATATTTAATTATTATCCATTATTTTTCCATAGGAAGATTTCAAAAAAAAATTTAAATTTCAAATCCTTTAAAATAGAATAATTTTTAAGAATTGCTACTGTAATTTATTAAAAATTATTTTCAAAATTTCAATTCAATTATTTTCTAGAAATTTTAACTAAAATATTTCTAAAATTCACTTGTTTACAAGACAATTTCATAAGATTTTGAATAATTTGAAAGTTTCTCAATTAAATATTATGTATTTAAAAATATAACTATAATTTATAAAAAAATGTGAATTAAAATGTTTCAAAAAACTAACTTATTCAGAATTTTTAATTAAAATCTTTTACAATTCAACTTTTCTAAAACTTCAGTATGAAACTTTTTAAAATTCAATCTATATTAATATTATATTAATATTAATTTAACATTCTAAAATACAAAAAAAGTTGCTTATAAATAATTGTAAAAAAATATTTAATATTAATGCAAAATACGTTTTTTTAAAAATTTATTTTCATAGAAAAGAAATTTTTTATCTATTTTTATTTTTTATTTACTTTATTTATTATTTAAAAATCTATATTAATAATCGTTGTATTCCGGTAATCTGTTCGCAGTTTGAAGTTATAGTTTTTGTTTGCTTTTTTGTTTCCTAACTTTTTTAATAATTTTTTCATTTTAAATAATTTCCATTTTAAAAATTAATTTATTGAAAATCATCGAATTGTTGCAAAAAAATCTTATCCAAAAATTCTTTTGAAAAATATAACAAATTAAGAAAAAAATTGAATTCTTTCGTGAAATTTTTTTGAAAATAATTTAATTTTTTCGAAGAATATTTATTAAAATTTTTGAAAATAATTTAATTCTTTTGAAATTTTTCATAACGCACTAAGAAATAAATTGAATTCTTTCGTGAAATTGTTTTGAATATAATTGAATTTTTACAAAGAATTTTACTACTTATAATTATAATCAAATTGTTTTCAAAGATTTATTAAAATTTTAGAAAAAAAATTGAATTTTTCAGAAAAATTTTTATAAAATTGAATTCTTTCATGAAATGTTTTTAAAATTGTATTAAAAATTGTTGAATTTTTGCAAAGAATTTTACTTTTTATAAATAAAATTGAATTGTTTAGTGAAATTTTTCTGAAAATAATTTAATTTTTTCGAAGAATATTTATTAAAATTTTTGAAAATAATTTAATTCTTTTGAAATTTTTCATAACGCACTAAGAAATAAATTGAATTCTTTCGTGAAATTGTTTTGAATATAATTGAATTTTTTACAAAGAATTTTACTATTTATAAATATAATTGAATTGTTCTCAAAAATTTATTAGAATTTTAGAAAAAATGGAAGTTTTAAGAAAAATATTATTAAAAATTAAAAAAAAAATTGAATTCTTTCATGAAATGTTTTTAAAATTGTATTAAAAAATTTTTGAATTTTTGCAAAGAATTTTACTTTTTATAAATAAAATTAAATTATTTTGAAAGATTTACAAAAATTTAAGAAAATAATTGAATAATTCAATTATTTTCTAAAGTTTTAATAAAATCTTTGCAAAATTTCAATTATTTCCAAAAACCTTTTCTCAATTCAATCAAGTTTTTCAATTTTTTTTTAAATAATTGAATTTTTGCAAAGATTTTTTATCGAATAAAGAAAAAAATGAATTTTTTCGTGAAATTTTTTTAAAAATAATTGAATTTTTTCAAAGAATTTATTAAAATTTTAGAAATTATTAAACAAGAAAAATTAATTAGTAAATTAGTTAATAATTGAATTTTTTGAAAATTTGAGACTGAAATTATTCAAAAATTCATATTTGAAAATAAAAATTTTGTAATTTGCATAATAATAGTAAATTGAAAATCACAATTGCTAGTTAATTTTTATAAATTTCGTATCACTTTTGTTCTAATTAGTTCAAATTTTTAATAATTCAAATTTATTTTGTTATAATATTATTGCAAAAAAAAAAAAAATTTATAAATTACTTTATTTTTAACTATTTTATGGAATGTGAAATTTTTACTCTTTCAAATTTTTTCGACGAATTTAATGAAAATTATATTTTCTTTACTTATTGTTAGAAATAGAAAGAATTTAAAATTAAATCTAATATTTTTTTTAAGTCTGTTACGTTGGACAACAAAATTCATAATTTTCTTATAAATTCTAGAAATTAAATATTTTTATACTACTTTTGATAAAATTCCCTGACAAAATAAAACGATTTTATAGAAGATCATTCAATCTTTTTTAATGAAACATAATTAATAAGTTTTAAAAGAGATATTTCTATTTTTTCTCACAAAGTAATCAGTGTTTTTAGAAAAAAATTTCCAAAATCCCAGTCAAGATGAAAATTTACTGTCATTTCCCGGTTTTTCCCGGTGCAAAAAATGCCTTGTCATTGCCCGGTTTTCCCGCTCTAGCAGCCACACTGTAATTCACTGGTAACCTAAAAGTATATCAAATTGCAACGAATTGATCTCAAAAAGTGGATCAAATCAGAATTTGATCTCAATTTTTGGATCATTTGAGGATCATTTTGACATTTTTAGGAAAACAGTGTTGTTATCAATTTGATCCAGTTTGGAATCAATTTGATTAAAATTTGATCAATTTGACCAATTAAATTAAATTAATTTGTTTAAATGTTTGTTACGATTTTGAATGCGAGGGAAAAGAATTGTGCCAATTATTCTTTTTCCTCGCATTAAAAATCGTAACAAACACATTATTTGTTTTCTGTTTTGTAAAAATTGAAGGGAGATTTGAGAGCGAAATGGAGAAAATGAGAGAAATAAAAGGAGTAAGTTGAAAATTACAGTGCAAAAGGCGCGAAAGTAGCTACAGGAAGATTGTGTCGGACACCCTGTATAGATGAAGAAAGAGGAGAGTTAATTGAATCCGAGTAGCGTATAAGTCCCGCTCGCTCCTCTTATTCTTCTTTCTTCCTCCCCCGGTTCCAACTCTCAACAGGACCAAGGGAAGGTCGAAGGAGAGAGGAAGGAAGCATTCCTTTGTCTCTGCCCGTACCAAACCTAGATCATATGTGCATACATTTTCTCCTACCTATATACAATATTTATGTACATACTCAATTAGAAATTTTTACTCTACTCTTTTTATTCATACACTCCATCCCACTAAATTTCATTTCTTCAAATTCAAATTATCCCCCAGTCGAATATTATTTTAGATTCATTTCACTATTTTTAATATTTAATTCACTATTTTTTAATTTTTAATACACTGAAATAAAAATTTATTTCATTCAAATAACCGATTAATTGATTATCGTGAATTAAATAATATTTATTGGAGTCAATCAAATGCTTCATAATTCATATTTGCTTAAAATACTGAAATTATTGAATCAAATATGAATTGAACCATTTAATTGACTCCAATAAATATTATTTGATTCAAGCATAAATATTTAATTGATACTCAATTAATCGGTTATTTGAATCAATTAAAATTTTTTTTCAGTGTATATCATTCACTATTTTTAATATCATTCATCACTATTTTTATTTTTCGAAAATGAAAAACAGTCGAAACGAAGTAAATTTTTTAGATTTCTATATAGTGATTTTCTCACAAATTTATTGCATATAGTAAAAAAAACGCAGTTTGCAATTTTGTCGCAGATGTTAAAAATCAAAGGGAACGCATTTTCGCAAAGATTTCTTCTTTGACGATCATTGGACATTATAGTTACCAATCGGATCATATTCAGGTTCTCAGGACCTTGTTTTATTGGACAAGTCTTGCCAGGAAATCTCGCGTAACTAAAAAAAGGTGCCTATATATATATACAATATACCGGTCTTTTCTGAAAATAACTTATATATCGGCAACGATATATAAGCTATAAATTTCGAATCGGAAAAATTTTTACCGTTTGGAAATTTTCTGTGTTTGCTGCATACTTGACAAATAAATTAGTATACACTCTGTCAAATTATTTAATTATTGCTGTCAAATGTTTTTATTATTTAAAATATTGTAATTAAATTCTGTTTATCTGGTTAAAAGACCGAAAAATAAAACAGAACTTTCAAAAATAAAATTAATGCAAAAAAGATGTGCGGACATATTTCCATAGTTGAGAGAATTTTTGAATTTTTATATACCCAAAAATGTTACAGACTTCGCACTCGATAATTAATTTTAATAAAGTAGCAAAAAGTAGCTTTCAAACTAAAAAAAAAATAGTAAAAAAGTAGCTATCGAAAAATTAATTTCAACAACAACA